TCATGTGGGGTCGACACGGGTCCCAGTCGAATGTGAGAGTAGGTCAACCGGGTGGGTAAGTTTCTTCTAGCAAAGGAGCCTAGTTCATTTTTTATATACTATAAATCTATAATGGGAATATTAACAAACAGTGTGGTGCCATTGATTTTGTTGTGGAGGTTGATTTGGTCTCTGCTCTGCAAGCCTCGGCCTTCCCAGAACTCATTTTCGCTATCGTGAAATGGTAAAATGATGTACACTGTAGTATACCATTGACTACGCATTTACCTTTTCTATATTGTAATTTTTCTTTTACTTGGTATCCAGGGGTCAAAACAGCAGAAGATAATGGCATTCTTTTACTATGGAGCTGCCAAGCCACCGTGTCTGAATGAGCAACATAGCAAACACAGAAGAACCAATTTCTACAGTTGAAACGAACACCAACTCCAACTAAAGTCTACGTCTTAGACATTACCAGTCAGCTATAGGACTACAATTTTTACTGGTTATTGGAATTATGTGTCTTTGCTGAACAGGCGCCAGTGGTGTTCGTCCAGGTGAGTACCCTGCAACGAATGTTTTGAATCCATGGGCAGGCAAGAGGCAACCTGGCGAAATGTATCGTTCATCAATTATATTTGCTTTCTGTATTCGATTCTCAATCCACTCAACTTGTCCTTTTTTGAGTTCTTCTGATATAGTATAACATTTGCGAGTTACTTTGCTCATGTTAATTGATGCAATAATTGTAAGAGAAAATTGTTGACCTCGTTTTTTCGCACTGTTGACATGGACAACAGATGCCAAGCTCACTAGTGTTCTCTTAAGCTAATTCCAATATGAGTGGACTGATTGTCAATCCCTAATATCTCGGATTTGAATGTGAGAGAAACTTTATAACACGAGACAAATATGTTTAAGCTCCGGTGAAATATATGAAATAAATTACACGATAATAAATGACCGACTAAGAGCCAAACTCAAAATCAAAATCACACCTCAGACATTCAAAACCAAAGATTAATAAAAAGGAGAAGAATGTATGACTTGCCGTTGATATATTTGCATTACCCACAAAATGACACAAATGGAAGATATTTATAGTAATACATGTGAAATGGTGTCCATGGGATGGGGGACACGTGGTCTCATCTCCTCAATCGAGACATCTTATTCTAAGTATTAATTTTGACTCCATTAGCCTGTAACACATTAAATATCCCTAAAAAGGAGACAGTCACCCCATAACCTATGTTGACAAGATTGACCTTTCTACTTATTACAAAAGTCCAGTTAATCTTTCTAAAAGGATTTAATAAATTCAAGACTTCAAAGGTAGATCGTCACCAACCTTACTTGATCCTCGGATTCTACTTCGTTGAACCTCGCCACTTTGGCAAAGAAGTTTCATTTGGATCTCGGATTTGTCTTTAGCAGAGGGGTTTTGGTGGGGTCGGCCTCATGAATTACTTGAGTAAGAGTGGGTTTCGATGGATTGAATTTATCTATAGCAGAGGGACTTCGGTAGGGTTAGCCTCATGAATCGCTTTGGTAAGAGTGAACTTCGGTGGATCGAATTTGTTTGGAGGGTCGGACGGGGGTTTTTGACTCATGAGTGAGGGTCTCACTCATGTGGGATGCCACATAACTTAGGCGGAAGGGACTTGTTGGGTCGGCTGAGTCACGTGGGAGTCTAGGTGGCGAAGCATAACAAAAATATAGAGACACCCCTTTTTTTTCAAAAATTACAAAAGCATCTCTTATGTTTCTACATATTGACTCATTTCTCTCGAGAAACAAAATTGTATTTTCCATTGTTCCCTTCTTTATACAAAATACTTTTACAATTATTTTTAAAACATATTTAAACTATATTACCTCTTACTCTTTTTTCATTTAATTCCTAAAGGAATATTGTTATAAATGAATCAAATTGGTAAATTACTCTTTTTAAAATATTCTCACTAGATTAATTGATTGATACAGGATACGCAGTCAATTAATCAAAATGAGGGACGAAAAAGGATCTAGGTGACTCTAAATTTATTTAGAACAAGGCTTAGATCGTTGTTGTAAGAGTAAACTAGGTATTCCATCCAAGGCTGAGCGTCTAAGCGAGTACTGTGATGCAAATAAACAAGAACCAACCAAGGTCAAACTTGTGAGCACTTTCTGTCTGCTTTGAGGATTTTCTAAAAATGATTTAAGTGGCTGACTAGAAGGAAATGAAGTCAAAAAATTATTATTATCATTTCCAAGTGCTTATTTAAAAACGAAGTTCCAGCCAAAAAATTATTTTCAACTCTTTTCGTGCATTAAACCTTGCTAAAAATTTCCCCATTCCATTTTTCGATCTGTTGCTTCTAAAAATGCCATCTTATCAAAGTGTAGGTTCAGCATACATAAAAATCCAGATAACCATGATTATTTTAGAGGTCAGACATGCCACAAGCTGTACCTATGAAGATGTGTATTCACTGATGAATGTTTACATGATGATAACCATTAGAATTTGGGAGTGACCCGAATTTCTTGTTGAAATAAATGAAGAATTCTAATTGAAATACACATTATGAAAAGGGAACAATACATTTCTAAGGTGCTTACTTTACACCATTTCAAAAATAC